GCTGGGCGGGGCTGCCTGGTGACTCGCTGGGCGGGGCTGCCTGGTGACTGGCCGGTTGAATAGCTGGGCGGGGCTGCCTGGTGGATCTGACGGTGGGCTGATGTGGATCTATGTTCTAATCAAGAGATGTTCTTCAGGACCTACAGGGTCCAGGGGCCTTTTGTATGTGGAACTTGCACACTGCAGGTGGACTCCAGACCAAGCTTGACCTCGACTTGTGTTCTGCTTAGCTCATTAAGACCACTGACTGGTTCTTGAAATTCATGACTTCAGATTTGTGTCAGGCATGCACCTACACAGGATGTAACTTTGACTTGAACATTTATTAATGGCTGAGCAAACACTTAGAGAAAGAAAGCTGAAAACTGCAGTTCAATTTAGTCATGTTTACAGACCAGCTTTCTGTTTTTTATCGAGTATAGATATTTTTCTAAATTACCGTGAAATTAGTTTGGTCATCCTTATGCTTGAGTTCACAAGGCCCCCAGAATGGCAGGCACTCGTTTCCGTTTATAAATAATCAAGAAGAACACGAGATAGGTCACAAAAGCATTTAGGATACAACTTTGGTTGCCAGTAGTTCATTGATCTTGGCACCTTTGTTCATAACGTGTTTGTGGTTTTCCTTGTAAAGGCCTCAGTCCTCACTGTTCACCTCATGTTGCTGTAGAATCACCCCCGGTGTCAATTCAGTTGTTTGGTCAAATTCTTAGCTGATGAATATAAATGGAAAGTGTATTTAATACTTTGGCATTAACTTGCCTGACCGAAGATCATCGCCGTCACAACCCCCTTTACACAAGGAATGAGCCAGGGAGGCAGCTGAGAGGATGCAGCCGAAGTGGAGGAAGTGGCGCAAGAGAGGATGGAGCACAGCTCTGTGTGCAGCCAGGGAGTATTTATACGAATGAGAGTGGAAGTGTGAGATAACAGTTTGATCTCCTCCTAAACCTCTGTTAAAGAACAACTTTTGGAAGGATGAAACTGACTGTCCTTCATATCCAAGCCTGCTTACTTTCTCCTCAAGGACTAAATATCAAGGTTGATTGAAGAACACAGTTCTCCTGTGTTCTCACCCACTATAGACCTACAGATGTGCTCTGGGGTTATTCTAGTTTTGTTCATTGCAGTAGCCTTGGACTGTAAATTATATTTACAGAAAATCTATACTCACTGTTCTGTTGTTTTTTCAAAGGAACGTGCTTTAGATATTACCGACACTATTTTTGTCAAGTAAGACAAGACATTCCTAACTAGTCTGTAGTAATGTCATGAACTAATGTGTCACATACTGGGTTTTAGGCTTCTGAAGTGAAAAGTGAAATGTCAAAACAAAGTATTTTCAACCCATTCTTTCATTTCATGCATAATGTTTCAGAACCTTACAACCCTTTTTAAAAAAAAACTATAGTAATGGCACTTACAGAAAGGAATGATTTTTTTTTATCATAGGTGTGACTGAAAACTGCAGGTGGTGATTTTATCATGCATAATTCATACATTTCTAAAGTTTCGGTGTGAATTTGCATTGATAAATAAAAATGGAGGCTTCATCACATGTAAGGGTACATACAGTAGGCATGATTATTCTTTGTATTAGTGCTTCTTAAAGTGTTTCTTCAAAGCATTTACTGATGCTGTATAAATGATCAATGCCATATTTACAACAGGTAGAAGGTTAATGAGCAATTGCAGTTAATTAAATTAAAGGTGATATTTTATAAAATGTCATGCAGCCTGCTTCTTCTTCATCTGTTACAGATAAGAAAGCCATTTCAGTTAGACTAGGAGGCCGTGCCAGTGAACGCAGTTACTGCTATCGATCAGAGATTATCCTCCTAGTGTGCCAAAGACATAGAAATCCTTTAAAAAAAAACTTAGCTGGTTAACAGGATTCTTACTGAAAATATGTGTCATATAGCTGTTGGGTTATTGTCTGTTGTTAAAATAAGCCAAACTCTTTCAGTGATTTTCCCCATACTATTCAGCAAACCTTGCGTTAACACGAGACCGGAAGGTTGCATGAGACAGGGCTGCACAGCAGGTCAAGTCTGGAGACGACAGCAGGAGTAGCTGACGTTCAAATTGAGTTCTTCCAGTAACTTTTCAGTTCAGCTCCAGTGACACTAATTGTCTTTTACTACCAAAGTGTAGCTGTGCCCACCTGTGTTACTTTGTAATCATGTTTTTTTGACTGTTTTTTCCACTTGCACAAAATAAATCTACATGTAGGTTTCAAATTAATAAATGTTTCATCCTCCAGCATGCAGTGTTTGTACAGGATGTTATATAAGGTTACAATGAGGGTGAGACTTTGAATAATTGTTAATTTTATTCTTCAGACATATAAAGTTCCACCTATCTCTTGCATTCTCTGACAGTTATTAAGGAATTTCAGGGATGACACTTCTAATAAGAATGTCCTGCACACATTTCTCATCCAGTGTGATGATCAGAAAGCAGATTAAAATGAGCCTCAACAACACCGCGGTTCTCGGACTTCACCGCTTGTGTCTGCAAAGTGCCGAGGTTGGGCAGCCCAGGTTCTCAGATGTCCTGGGTAACCGCAGGCTTGCTTTCTCTCCCATCCGCACTGCCCCTCCTGTGAGGCGCTGTTGAGCGTGAGTCCGTCAGCAGATCAGCTTACGGACAGGTTTGTCTTACACACAAGGAAGGCTGAGAACGAGTTAAATGGTCTAAAATAAGCAGCATCAGCATGCCTCATGTTTCTGAGAATATTGGCTGAGCTAGAAGCGTGGTGTATCAAGGGACCCTGAAGCACCTGAGACACGTTCCACTGTTCTGTACTGTGTACTGCGATATCGCTGCCTTCTAAAGCTCTGAATGCCAAGAATCCTAAGCTCTTGTTTCTGTAGGTTTAACTACCTCATAGCGAATGAGGAGAGAATCCTAAAAGTCAAGCGGACATTACTCTTTACTGCTGTCAGCTATATTTAAATGTTTGAACCATATAGTCATGATCAGGATCCTGAATGCATATCTGGAATTCTGCTTCTGCCTGAATAGATGTTTAAGGACATCTGGCATAATTAATTGAAAATGATTTTACAAGTTACAGAATATCTCCCAAATGCAGAATAGAGAAAAAAATACACAGGCAGTATTTTTCACTCAGTCTCTGCAGTGACAGGACTCTAACTTGGCTGAGGTCATTCGTGGTGTACCACAGGGTCCTATTTTAGGTCCACTAGTTTTTTGGATTTCCATCAACAATTTCTGGAATAGTTTTCACAGTTGAGGAATTCCCAGAGACACAAAGACAGAAGTGTGAGAAACACTGTAGAAGCAGCTAAAAAGTTACAAAAGGACTTAGACTAGAATCCAGTTCTTTCCAGTTGTGTTCTTAATGTTCACTTCTGTCCTCTGGCTTAAACACCATTCAGGTTAGGAGAGGCATCTGGTAAATGAAAATTATTCTAAACTAATGTGAAGTACTAATTCAAATACTGAGATTGTTCACAACTAGCATGAGATGGGAAGTACTTATCTTGAAGAAGAATCTGTGAAGTAAAGATTAAAGTTGTCTATGCCAAAATTTTTCAAACGTAAGAAAGGTTGCAAACGTCCACCTGTCCCCTCTGGGTTGTTAGGTTTCTAGTAGTTAATTGATCTGAGGCTATTAAACAGCTGGTTCTTGAAAGAAGCCAGGGTACATAGCTGGCCATGGCTTGCTCCACACTCCCACAACCCTTTGTGTACAGAAGGGCCTTCTGTTTGTCGTTTTAGATGCACTACCCCTTAGTTTCCATTTCTGACAGGGTCTCCCATCAATCTGAGATATTGGTGTCCTCATGTGAGTCCTGCACTCAGCAGATTCAATCTCTGGATCCAGCTCGTGTTGTTGGAACACTTCTGGTGAAGGAGCTGAAGACTCCAGACCTAAAGAGGCTGCGCCTTTCAGAGAACTCGGGGGTGGGGGCTGGCCTCGACTTCGGCTCTGCGGCCCGGGAGCTCGGACACGCTCGCCAGAGCCGCGTCTGGTGGAAGCGTCTCTAGCATCTAGCGACGATGTCTTTGCCCTCGCTTGTCACGCTGTTCGATTCACCCGCAGACGGATTTTTCAGTTAAAACATTGTGCGTTTTGCCGTCTTTCACTTTCCTTCCCAAGCCCGTGTTTCAAAGGCACCGTGTGCATGGAAGAGTAGCGGTGCGTCTGCTGGCCCGTTGCTGCACCCTGCCCCTGCGGTAGGAGGTGTCATAGCTGTGCATATCAGTACCCGGAAGCGGGTCAGAGTGCTGACCTAAAGCCATCTGTCCCCCCCCCGCTCTGCAGGGTTGACCCGCTGCCGCACGACGCTCCCAAACCTCCCGGCTACACCCGCTTCGTGTGCGTCTCGGACACCCACTCCCGCACCGACGCCATCCAGATGCCCTACGGAGACGTGTTCATCCACGCCGGCGACTTCACGGAGCTCGGCCTGCCCAGCGAAGTCAAGAAGTTCAACGACTGGCTCGGTAAGGGCGCTCTCTCGCTCTGGCTCGGCTCGGCTCGGCTCGGCTCGGCGGGCCTGTCTGTAGCGCGGGGGGGCGCAGGGAGCTGAGGCGAAGTTTCAGTCCTTGGGGTGTCGGGGGCGCCAGCTCGGGGAGACTGCTCTGCGTGTGCGGGAGGAAAGCTCTCGGCACTGCCGGCTTATTATTAGAAACGGAAAGTATCTATTTTTTATCATTGTCAACGATATATGCAGAGAAGGCAGGATGATTTCAGATGTATCTGAAGGCTTTTTGACACTCTTTTATGAGGTGTTCGTATTTTCATAGTGCTCTTTTTTCCGGCGTGCGAGAGCCTATAAATATTTATAAGCTCAATTCCGTTTGGGCCTGGGCTCTTTGTGTTTCCCCTTGGAAGGAAACCCTTTCTTTTTCAGGAGATATTGTGATTTATTCAGGAACTTGGTGGCAATCTCGGGCGATTTTATAAAGTACAGCGATATTGTCATGTTTTTTTTTTCAGATTTATTTAGCTGTTTTTGGAAGGAGATGTCTTCCCCACACAGGTTGTTTTAGAGCTAGAAGTGCTTTTTTTTTTTTTGTTCATGCCTCTCAAGGCATCATTGCAAGTGTCACTCAGACCAGCGCAGGCAGCAGCACAGAATGTGGCAGTGAACCCCGGGCACCAGCTGGAGTGTGCCCGTGCGCAGGGGCGCCCCCTACGGGCAGGGCTGTGGCTCGCTGGCAGTGAACCCCGGGCACCAGCTGGAGTGTGCCCGTGCGCAGGGGTGCCCCCTACAGGCAGGGCTGTGGCTCGCTGGCAGTGAACCCCGGGCACCAGCTGGAGTGTGCCCGTGCGCAGGGGGGCCCCCTACAGGCAGGGCTGTGGCTCGCTGGCAGTGAACCCCGGGCACCAGCTGGAGTGTGCCCGTGCGCAGGGGCGCCCCCTACGGGCAGGGCTGTGGCTCGCTGGCAGTGAACCCCGGGCACCAGCTGGAGTGTGCCCGTGCGCAGGGGCGCCCCCTACGGGCAGGGCTGTGGCTCGCTGGCAGTGAACCCCGGGCACCAGCTGGAGTGTGCCCGTGCGCAGGGGGGCCCCCTACGGGCAGGGCTGTGGCTCGCTGGCAGCGTGTCCACAGCAGTGACATGCACAGAGCCCTGTCTCATGGCTGGCCTACTCATGGCAAATGTGATTCCTTGCAGAACAAAAAAAATAAATAAAATCTCATTTGTTTCGTCAATGCTACAGTGATTTTTTTTAAAACAATTTGGAATTTCGGATTTCGGAGCACATACTGTAGATCAGCAAAGGCTTCTTTCTAACCAGCATATGTGCTCTGTGAGGGTAGTGTGCCAAGCAGCAGTGCCGGGTGTCTGTGAGCCTCAGGATGTATTGCTGCTTGCAGATAGCTGTTATCCACAGTTCATTAACACGTTCCCTGGCTCTTAATGGTGACTTAAAGCTACAGTCCCCCTTGGTCTTTTTGGATGTCGTGTGGTTCTTTGAAATCTGTTTATTGCACCAGAATCGCCCTTTGTTCAGCATTCAGTGCGCCCCGGGTGCTGTGTGTCGAGCCAGGCCCCCTCTCCTCTCATTCGCACGCCTCTCTTCCCACTGGAAACGCTGCTAAATTAGTTGCTCACTGCATTTTGTCAGTCCTTAACACAGTACTGTATTACCGTCCACAGTTCTGTAAAAGCTGTGGTTTGTGATGTCGCCCAGCCACAATATAAAGTACTTAAAGCAGTTATGAGAAGTTTATAAGCCCATTGAAAAAAAACAAACACTGGGTGTCTCTTTTTTATTTAATTATGGTCTAGTTTCATTCAGTCTTATTGAATATTATGTTTTTGTCATTTTAATCTGTGCTATTAAATTTTTAATTTTGCTTTGAATATTCAGCTTGTGCTGTTACTTCATGTCTTGCTTGGTCTCTTCTTCTTCTTCTTCTTCTTCTATTACTATTTGTTGTATAGGCAAAAACAAAGCAAGACTGATCGGTATCCCCCATCACAATCCGACCAGAAGCCTTATAGAGCAGCTTCAAATTATTACAAACAAGAGAGGTGCTTAAATACGAATAGTTAAAAAAGAATGGGAGTTTGTAACATATTAAGGATCTTCTTGTTTGCCAGTGTCCTTCAGTTAAATTCCTCTTTGATGATGAGGAGTTTGCAAAGTTCGTTAGGTAGAAAAATGGCAGTTCTGCGCCTGTCCTGTTGAGGGCTGAACTGATGTGTGAGGAGGACATGTGATTGTGGCTGCACTCGCTCTGCTGGCGGTGGTGACCTGCGACCCCCCCAGCTCCACGCGGGGCAGAGGGCAGCCGGCGATGACCGAGAGCCTGCCGTGCCGCGGAACGTGCTGGGGCAGGATGTTCGGATGTTTTTGTGTCTGTGCTGCGCTGGGGCTACGGCAGGGCCCGACGGGACGAGACGTCCCAGTGTCTCCAGGATGAGCCTTGGAGCGTGGGGCAGAGGACAGAAGGGGAAGAAAAAGCAGGAGGCAAACAGGAGGCACATCGTTACACAAAGTGTTGTACTGTAGGAGTGTGGAACAAGCTATCAAGCCATGTTGTTG